CTAATATATATTTTCAAAAAATTTGTATGTGAGATAAAATAAAATAAAACAACAAAAATTAATTATTTTCGTTATTATTAAATGAATATATAATTTCTCTTACATTTTAATAACTACTATAATTTCCTTGAAAACATTCCTCACCACCGATTCCAGACTCCGACGAATGGATTCCCACAGTCGATGACGCCGTAGATAAAAATGCCACATCATTTATGAACAAAACTCAAACTTACAAAAAACCATATATAAAAACCTATCTAATGAAACTTAAACAACGAATATTAACTTAATTAAGGTTATTTTCAAATTGATAAATCGTTTAATACAAATATAAATACTATAAATATAGAATTATATTAAGTTTTGATCTACGATATAAAAACTATTTACAGCAAAAAAAAATACACCTACTTTTACACACTAAAAACTATATTATAGCCTAACTATTCCTATAAACCTTATTTCGCATATAAATAACATTTAACACATTCCTAATATTTTTCAAAAAAAATTGTATGTGAAATAAAATAAAATAAACAACAAAATTTAAGTAAGTTATTTATTAAATGAATATGTAATTTATCTTACATTTTAATAACTACTATAATTTCATTGAAAACATTTCTCACCACCGACTCCAGATTTCGGCGAATGAATTCCCACTGTCGATGACTCCGTAGATAAAAATGCCACATCATTTATGAACAAAACCGAAACTTACAAAAAACCATATATAAAAACCTATCTAATGAAACTTAAACAACGAATATTAACTTAATTAAGGTTATTTTCATATTGATAAATCGTTTAATAGAAATATAAATACTATAAATATAGAATTATATCAAGTTTTGACATACGATATAAAAACATGAAATTTTTCATTTCATTATTAATTGGTGTCATTAGAAGAATCCACTAAACCAACAATAAAAAAAAATACACGCAAACATAATGATCCCGGCCCCGCGCTTGCACGGGGAATATGCAACTAGTATTACTAAGCTCAGACTCCAAACGAAACAAAGGTTACACGCTACACCTTGTATTACAAATTTACACATACGCATCCCAGTCTTGACTTGTTGAAACCAGCAAACCAATTTCATAAGAAAATAGAAGTTAAAAACAGATAGTTGTACCTAGGGGTGGGCGTTCGGTTCGGGTCGGTTAAATCGACTCTTGAATTTTGGTAACCATTAAGGAACCGTGAAAATTTCAGGTCAAAACGGATCGGTTCTTTCGGTTATCGGTTATTTCGGTTCCTGAAGTTTGGTAACCATGTTAGAACCAGAAATAACGGTTCCAATCGGGTTTGGTTCTATTGTAACCATATTACTCAAATTAATCTGATGCATTTGCAAATAGATATCAAAACCAACACAAAAGTAACATTCACACGATTTTCTCATTAAAAAATCACAAAATCTAAAATATAAGAATAAAACATCCAAAACACCCTCAAGGGTTTTAAACAACCAAACACCAAACTGTTGAAAATAAAACATCCGAAAGACTAGCTCAAATTCATAATTGAAACTTGAAATATAAAGTAAATAATAAGAGAAACATGAAATAAATATAAAAGTGGAGAAACACCAAATCCAACAGAGAAAACCATCAAGCGTCTAAGATTTGAAATAGAAAGTAGATAAGAGGTTTTCATCCAGTTCTTATGGGTATTATTCGGTTCTTGGTTTGGTATGAATTCGGTTCCGGTTCTTCGGGTATTAAATGTTTGTACCCAATTGGATAATTCATAAATTCGGTTCGGTTTCGATTTGATTTTTTCGGATCTGTTCGGTTTGGTGCTTTGGTTCCGATTTTTTTATCCACCCCTAGTTATACCTATATTCTCTCTTTTTAATAAAGAAAAATAGCCTAAACACTAGTATAATTACCACACGATAGTTAGAAAAAAAAACAAGTCAAACAAATCCAACCCATTTTTATGGATCGCCTTACAAGACATGCATACGATTATCAATAAATTACTCTAAAATTTTATGAATTAGTCTCCACCTTAAACAGAATTTTCAACCATCAAACCAGTGTTTGTATCGTAAGATTATTACAAAGAATAATATGTCATCATCACAATTCACTATCTTTTGCATCATATTGATTGTTTTATCTCCTCTCCATGAATGTATGCGTTTACAATAGTTTTCTATTATTCATCAATTATTTTTTTCACCATTGTAATCACATCATAATATCTTTGATAATTGTTTTTTCCTCCAAATAATATTGTTGTTACTTTCTGTTTATGTAGTCGTCGATGGTCAGGTTGCAGCAGGCAATGCAGTTAAAGATACTTGCACGCCACGCCCATGCCACGATCTCAAAGAAAACCACACTTGTTCTTGTTGTTCCTCCAAAGTTAAGAGTCGAAACATGTGTTACATGAGCCAAGAAGAGTGTATGCGTAGGTGCAAGCCATAAGTTATCTCGAGAATCTACATCAAAGATTTTTAAAACTTGAATAACCATTTTATTTAATACATCCTATTATCCTAATATCTACTTTCGTTTTATATGAACTAGATTTTTTATCCGCGCTACGCGCGGATTGTTTGGTATAGTTAAACTTTTATTCAATCAATTTATTTATGTTTATTTTAATAATCTATATTAATATTTGTAAAGTGATTTTTCGTCTTTGAATTCTCATATTTAAAGTTAAAGCGACTAAAGGATTCATTATCCTTAATAAATAAATAGATTTGTTAATATATAATTAACAATTAATTAAAAAGAAAATTTATTGATTTGATAGTTATTATTGTCTAAAATTAATTCTTACTGTGTTATAAAGTTTTCATTATCTTTAATAAATAATTAGATTTGTTAATATATATATATAATCATAGATTAAAATGATTTTTTATTTGATAATTATCATTATATAAAAATAGTTTATATTGTTGTATCCAAAAATAAATATTTTACATATTAAACAAAAATATAAATAAAAGAGATACATCTCTCCATATATATTGTATACAATTCTATACATAGGTGTGTTTAATATTTTTTACAGGATAATGAATATTTTTATTATAATAAAAAAACTTTTTGATATGTAAAAAAAACTGATATTTAATTTCTTACTAAAAATTGGTCTCCTTATTTAGGTCCTTGTCGCGCGATAGTATTGTATATAATTTTTTCTCTAAATTTAGTATAAATATATGATATCATTTGATAATTTTATCCTAAGGAACAAACAAAATTTGAGCTTGTAAAGTAGGTAGATATCTAGAGACTTATGAGGATATATTCATCAACACATCTTTTAAATAAGTTCAATATTTGCACAAATATTCGGAAGCAAATTAGAGTTGAGAATTTTTTAATATATCAAGAGAAAGTGAGAAATAAATCATATATTGATCCAAGAGGTTTGTGATTTTGTTTGTAGAAGCATAAAAATAAAATAAAATCATATGTAAGAATGCCAGCGGTGTGTAACTTTAAAAATAACATCTAATATGAGAAATCTATAATGATTTAGATCTTCATTGGCAAAACATTGGCATAATGCTATTTATTATTCAATCAATAATAATTAGGAAAACATTTAAAATAGAATTTAGAACCTGAAAAATAATTTTCAAATTCTCTTTGATCATTGCTTTCATATAAAGGTTTTGCTGCCATGATACCAATGATGGAACCAGAAACTTTTTGTATTGGGGTCGGAAAAAAAAATCAAAACATAATTTATAAACCACAAAAAAATTCAAATGTACTCTAAGTTCATTCATAGTTTTTGAAACTTTTTATAGCAGTTTCATTGGGCTACATCTTCAAATATTTTTTTAGAAACTTTTTTTATCTATTAAATAAAAAAATAGTCTCTTTCGAAATATATAACTAATTGTTAAATCCTTTTCAAATCATGAACATAAAATAATAATATAAACAAAGAAAAATAATATAACAAAAAAAATATAGAAAATGCAACCTGAACTGTAACAGAAACATAATTGTGAAAAGTTCGCTGTCGTCTTGAGTTTGTGAGGAAAAGGAATAAGATTTGTTTTTCCTTTTTTAAGTTTACGTATTTTTTAATATTTCTATATTATAAATTCTTTGGATCTACTATAATTTGGGCTTAAACAGATTTACTATTAAAAATAACATAACGTGTTTAGTGACTATATTTTTTTTGTAATTATAAAAAAATCAGAGTTATATCTAAAGTTTTACAGAAAAAGTATAAATATTATAGTTTTATAACTAAATTTTACTGACAAATTTTACGTATAACAAAACAATATTTTTTTAAAAATAATGGGGTCAGCGATCCCTTCCTCTTATACTGTCTCTTCCCCTGCATGATATTACGCTATCCATATGATGATGAGTATGTTGTCGATCTTTCAAGGGAGAGATGTGGTTGTAGTACTTTCCTTTCAAAACATGTGCTAGTAAGAAATTTGGGTATTGAATTAATCTCCATAATTATTTTGCAAGATTTTCTAAATAACTTGACTCTTTTCATGATGATTAGCTGCATAGCCTCCACTTGAGAGCATATTTTTATTTTGCCAAAAAGAAACCGTCGAAGAATGTGCCATAGATTTTTCTTGGAAAGTTCTCTTGATCTTCAGCAATATTCACAATCCTAAACTTTTCCTGCTTTGTTGTAGAGAGTAAAATTTACATTGCTAATATCAAAACTTGACTCATATATATCAAAACTACTTAACTTTACAAAATCTCCACACAAAGTTTATTTTGAATAGCCCCCCTTAGAAAATCTCCCAAACCTTCTTTGCTTCAGCTGGAAATTTTGGTAAATCATTTGTATTTAGAATATATCAAATGTTTAAAACAATTTTTAATAATTAATTAAAAATTAGCTTAACAACTTTATTATACTCTTTCACATGGTTAGAGCACTTGCATTAAAAAGAATTCCACGTGATTTTGGAATGGATTTTGATATAGATAGATTAGTGTGGTCGAAGGGGACATATTGTTTGTTCCAAACCAATATCTGAAGGAGGTAAACAAACACTGGAGATATATCACTGAACACAATACGCATCATTGGTTTTCCCAGGAACACGTCCAAACCCCACGAAATTGTAGCTTCAAGTTTTACAAATAGATCTACGACTTTACAGTTTCCATGTATGGCTATATTATGTTCCCTGAGGATATGAGAGAAATAAAAAAAAAGCAGGCTTGTTCTTCTTTGGCATCAACTTGAGCATCAATTCTCAACGCGCTAACATCAGGAACATTAGGTGAGCTCCATGTTCTTCTTGTACCGTTTTTATTACCAGCACTTTCAGGGCTACCTCTCTCGTCAATGTCTATCACATAGTCATGACTCTCACCGTGACATCTACTCAAGTTGATGCTTTCACTGCTGAAACTCTCAAAAGTCTGAGAGGATCCAGACAGAAACATGGCAAGATCATCACGCTCTTCTTTGTTAAGATCCACCCAACACAGAGGTTGCTCCCCGTTTTCACATAATGCAGATTGTACTCGATGAACCTGGTTTTCTATAGCGGAGACAAACTG